GGCCCGGTGGAGAGGGGCAGACCAGCGACCTACAAATCAAGAGGCAGCGTCCGACTATGCATTCACTCTGCATGAGCCATGCGGAAGCGCTGCCCAGGCGTCTTGTGCGAGGCGGTCTGCAGATGCCCGAAGTCGAAGTGGGCTGTGAAGGAGATTTTCGCTCCTTTGGTGCTCTCCTTGGTGCTCATTGCTCTCTCCCTCTCTCTCTCCTCTCACACACACACACACTGTGCTCTCCTTTGCTGCTCGACGGGGAGGGTGCTTGGTGCTCATCGTGGTTCGATTTGGTGCTCGGTGCTCATCGTGCTTTGGTTCGATTTGGTGCTCATCGTGGTTCGATTTGCTGGCCGGTGCTCATCCGTGTTCGGATCCATGCTTCGTCTTCATTGCTGCTCATCGTGTTCGCTCCTTTGGTGCTCTCCTTGGTGCTCATTGCTCTCTCTCTCTCTCTCTCTCTCACACACACACACACACTGAGCTCTCCTTTGCTGCTCGACAGGGACTTGGTGCCGTGCTTGGATTCGTGCTCATCCTCGATTCGTGCTTATCCTCGATCCGTGGTTTTGGTGCTCGGTGCTCATCGTGGATACGTGCTTTCCGTGCTCATCTTCTCTCCATTGCTGCTCATCGTGTTAGCTCCTTCGGTGCTCGACGTGCTCTCCTTGGTGCTCATTGCTCTCTCTCTCTCTCTCTCTCACACACACACACACACACACACACACACACATTGTGCTCTGTGCTCTGTCCATTGGTGCTCATCGTGTTCTCTCCATTGGTGCTCATCGTGTTCTCTCCATCGTGCTCATCGAGGATCCGTGCTTTTCTTTGGAGCATGACCATGTGCTCATCGTGGATCGTGCTTTTCGTCACCTGCTCATCGTGGATCTGTGCTTTTGGTCACGTGCTGACCGTGGATCCGTGCTTTTCGTGCTCATCATCGTGGATTTGTGCGGGAACTTTGGTGCATGATAACGTGCTCATCTTCGATCCGTGCTTTTGGTGGTCGGTGCTCATCGTGGATACGTGCTTTTCATGCTCATCGTCGATCCATGCTTTTCGTGCCATCGTGGATACGTGCTTTTTATGCCCATCGGCGATCAGTGCTTTTCATGCTCATCGTTGATCTGTGCTTTTCGTGCTCATCGTTGATACGTGCTTTTCATGCTCATCATTGATCCGTGCTTTTCATGCTCGGTGATCGCCGTGGAAGCGTGGTCATCGTGAATCCATCCACCGGTGATCACCGTGGATGCGTGGTTTTCATGCTCGGTGCTCATCGTGAATCCATCCAGACGTGCTCATCATTGATCCGTGATTTTCATGCTCATCCAGACGTGGTCACCATAGATGCGTGCTCACCGTGGATGCGTGCTCACCGTGGATGCGTGCTCATCGTGAATCCATCCAGACGTGCTTTTGGTGCTCATCATCGGCCCTCCCTTCTTCCTCCCTTTCTCCTTCCTTCTTCCCTCCGTCGCTTTGCGCTCCTTCCTCCGGTGGCGTTACCTTCCTCGGCCCTCTGTCCTCCCTCCCTTCGTGCTACCTTATCTGGGAATGATATAGAGAGAGCATTCCGTTTTTCTTAGCTTTCTCAATTTGCATTAAGGCTTAGCGCCACATTTTTTTTCCAATGTGGATAAGGGCGAGCGTGTCGGGTGTGCGGTTGCGCACAGACGCACACAGCGAGAGGTGTGGATGGATGGCGCGTGCGCCCGAGAGAGAGAGAGAGAGAGAGAGAGAGAGAGAGAGAGAGAGAGAGAGAGAGAGAGAGAGAGAGAGAGAGAGGTGACTCAGTGTGGTGTGTGTAGGGATTGGGGAGGAAGAGAGTGAAGTATGGAAAGAAATATCGATACCCTGTAATACCTGGTGCAGGGCAGTTAATCATAAGGCCGCTCCAAAGAAAAAAGACCGAGGGAGAATGTTGAGGAGGAAGATCTTGAGGAGGCAGAAGACGTGGTGGTGGAAGAGAGACAAGGGCAAAGAAGGTGYGAGGAAGGAAGAGCGAGAGGAGGAAATGTGTWAGGTGAAATGCGTTTTTCTCTCTCCTGCTTTCCCTCTCTCCTTCTTGAGCGTGTGCAACGGTGTTGAGATCTTTAAAAGAAATGGAGCGATCTTGATAACAAATGGAGCGTTKAYGTCCACTGGGTCGGGCGTTACGAAAGGAGGGCCGCCAGTTGAGGGAGGAAGGGGCAGGTAGGGAGTACAACGGAGGGAGGAATGGAAGGAGGTGGTCAGGTGGTGATCAGGCTGAGGAAGGAAGGGGAGGAAGGAGATTGGGGGAAGGAGGGCAGACAGAGATCGGGCGAACGAAGGGGGCGGATGAAGGGGAATGAGGCGGCCAGGCGGACGGAGGCCAGTGGGAGGTTGAAGAGAAAGTGCGGAGGAAGCCAGTAGGCAGGGGAAAGGCGGCAGAGAGTAGGGCGGAAGCAGGAGTTCAGGTAGAGATCGGGCAAAGGAAGGAAGGGGAGGAAGGAGATTGGGGGAAGGAGGAGGTCAGTGCAACGGGCAGAGGAAGGAGGAAGGAGGACGGAGGACAGAGGAGATAGAGGGAAGGAGGTCAGGCGGAGATTGGACGAAGGAAGGGAAGTGAGGTGGCCAGGTGAAGGGAGGGCAGAGGGAGGTTTTAAGAGAAGGTCAAGAGGAGGCAGGGAGAAAAGGGAGGCGGCAGGGAGAAGTAGGGCGGAGGGAGGACAGAAAGCAGAACGTAGTTTAGAGGTTGAGTGACATATGGAGGAACGGAAGAGGTAAGGGGGGGACGAGCATGTGAAGAGGAAGAGGAGGGGAAAGACGGCATGGTGAGGTCGGCCAGAGGGAGGGCAAAGGTTGGGAGGGGTACGGAGCAAGGGAAGAGGTCAGGCGAAGGTGGAGAGAGAGAGAGAGAG